GACAGTAAACTATGACTTCAGAAATGTCAAAAAAAGACAGTAAACTATGACTTCAGAAATGTCAAAAAAATGACATACTATGTGCTATGATGTCGAAAAAGTCATAAAAATGACATGCTATGCTATGACGTCAAAATGTCCTAAATATGACACACTATATACTATGACATTGAAAATGTCCAAAAAATGACATGGTAAACTATGATGTCAAAAATGTCCTAAAAGTGACATATTTATAATATGTCACTTTTAGGACATTTTTGACATCATAGTATATAGCAGGGGTCACCAACTCCAGTCCTCGAGGGCTACCATCCTGTAACTTTTAGATGCGTCTCTGCTCAAACACACCTGGATCAAATTCTGAATTCAGACATTTTGGAGCAGAGGTGAATCTAAAAGTTGCAGGATGGTAGTAACCCTTGAGGACTGGAGTTGGTGACCCCTGGTATATAGCATGTTATTTTTATGACTTTTTCGACGTCATGATGTCGAAAATGTCCAAAAAATTACACTTTTTTGGATATTTTCGATATGGTAAACTATGATGTCGAAAATGTCCAAAAAATGACACACTATACTATAACGTCAAAAATGTCCAAAAAATGACATAGTAAACTATGACATGTCACTTTTAGGACATTTTCGACATCATAGCATAGTATGTCATTTTTTGGACATTTCTGATGTCAGTTTACTATGATGTCAAAAATATCCAAAAAAAATCACATACGTCAAAAAAAGGCAAAATGTGTCATTTTGACTTTCAAAATAAGGACATTTTGGACATGTCGAAAATGTCCAAAAAACAGTATACTATGACATCAAAAATGACACACTATACGATGACGTCAAAAATGTCCAACAAATGACATACTATGATGTCGAAAATGACTTAAAAATGACATGATACTATGTCAAAAATGTCCTAAATGACAATATACGATGATGCCAAAAATGTCCTAAAAATGACATAAGTCGAAATAAGGCAAAATGACTGATTTTGCCTCATTTCAAAATAAGGACATTTTTGGACATGTCGAAAATGTCCAAAAAATACTATAACGTCAAAAATGACGTACTATACTATGACGTTGAAAATGTCATAAAAATGACATACTATGATGTCGGAAATGTCCAAAAAAACAACAGTTTTTTTGGACATTTAAAAAACTGTCTAAAAAACAGTTTTAGACATCCAAAATTAGGCCAAATGACACATAACATGCTAGGATGTCAAAAATGTCCAAAAAATGAAATGGTGTACTATGTTCTCAAAATTGACTTGAAAATCACATAGTATACTATGACATACTAGGGCTGTATAAATAAATCGATTCGGCGATATATATCAATATTTTCCGCCCTCGGAAAGTATCGATTTTTCATCCGCGAGTATTGATCTGTTAAACCATAGGGGTCCATAGCCTGACGGCTCTTTTTAACATCTAGTTTGTTACTACGTAGCAGCAAGACTCCGGCTCCCTAAGTCTCAATTTCAACTTGAGCTTAAAGTGCACATTATAAACTACACACCATCTTTTAAATTGTGTTAATAGGCCAAGTATAACCGGAGTTATGCTAAAATATTTTTCAGAGAAATGTCAGAGAAATGTCAGAGAAATGTCAAAAGCGCCGCCATTCCCCGGCTTTTCCGATTATGTGAGAGGGAATGAGCTTCCAAACGTACAAAACGAAACGAAACATTAGATTCCTGTGTTTTTGGAAATGTAAAATCTTCAATAAATAACGATGGGCTGTATTTTGTTGCTGAGAAACGAAGTAAAGTTGCACAAGTAACTGTGAAAGAGAAGCGGAACAGAGTGTCGGCGCGAATGGAGCAGCTGCAAAAGCAGTGAAATCGTGAAATTAATGCAAATTTTGACTGGTAGCATTCACTTCGTAATTAGATTTTAGCTTAGCGGTTTCTGTTCTGTATATAAAGGATTACCTGAAGAATGAACATGGGTTGATAACATCTGAAGCGGGTGCGCAGCGGCGCTGTGTTTTGAGCAGGAAGACGAAGAGGAAAAAGCCCCAGCCGGAATCCGCGGCGCAGTGAGGATTTCCATGATAACAATGGCTGATCGATCATTCTTATTAGCAACAGACAAAAAGTATCAGAGACTGAGAGTACTATGAGATGCTGGCAGTCTGAGAGGCAGCTACTCAGAGATCCAAGCAGGGGAATAGCGGCGCTGCGTAGCTGCAGGGAGTCCGATCACTACGGGGTGAGGCGGAGCCACTACTTTAGCAGTTAGACGAAAGCAGCTTACAGCCACGGCTAACTCCGGGAGACAAGGTAGAAAAGCCTTTTTTCCCCCTAGTCCAAAAGACTGCATTTGTGGCTGCATTTTTACTCCAAAATGAAGACACAGTGTCCAAAAGAAAAAACATAAGTGCAATCATTTGCATATTGAGAGTCTACAGATGCTGATAATCTCCACACTCTGCTCCTGGATTACCGTTTAAACTTTTCAGTTTTATGTTAAATCCACATGAATTAAATGACAGAAACTAATTCTCTCACTGCGTTTTTGACTCATTTTGTCCAGCTGCAGACTGTTAGACTGTCCAATCAGAGTCAGGTATTGTGTTGGTGCTTTTAATCAGTTTTCAGTTAACTAAATTCAAGTCTATGGAACACAAAATGTCACTAAAATCACTCTGTCCTTCTAAAATCTTTCAGAAAATCATAAAAATGCACTGAATCGTAGCGAATTGTATCGCTCAACAAATATCGTGATACATATCGCATCGTGACCAGAATATTGTATATTGTATCATATCGTGAAGTTATTGTATCGCTACACCCCTATGACATACTGTGTAGTATACTAAAAATGACATGTTTTTGACATGGCATCATGTCAAAAATGACACATACCAACTATGGCATTGAAAATGATGTATAATAATCTAAGATGTTTTAAGGCTTTAATTTTAGGGGCATCAATGTAAGACTTTTTAAGGATTCGCGTACATAAGGTGACTGACCCGTCTCTCCTGCATGGAAGAAGTACGGCAGCGATGCTCCCAGCTCAGCTGGCAGGGAAAGAGCTTCTCTGAAGTCCCAAAGAGTCCGCCCACTATTCTCCCTGCCGACCTACAAACCATATCACATTATGACAGGAAGTGGCTAACTGATACAGCATGGTCAAAGAATGTACAACTAGATAAAGTCTTGCCATGTCAAATCCTGCAACAACGTCTGGGAAGTCTTTCTTCAGCTGGATGGCCTCTGTCACAGCAGCCTTGACCTCTGAAACGCTCAGAGCCCTGAAGAAAGGAGCCGGAGAACGGAATCAAAAACTAGAACAGTTCAGCTTTAGCACAAAATGTCTTTGACTCCAACATGTGAATTTAGAACAATATTCAACAGAAAAACACTTTGTTATAAGGATATGCCAACAGTTTCTGCTTAATTTGGTCAACTGATATGAGTCAAATCATATAACGTTGAATTTAAGATTTATGTTGTAAACATACACCTTTTAAAATAATCTGAACATCTTTACAATGTGATAAATTTCCTTCTTTGTTTATTGCAAGTCTCTAAAAATTATCTATAAAGCATCTTTCAAGACATAAAATCACAAAGTCCGGCATAATATATTAAAATCATAAGACAGAATCAATCAAGTAAAATGTTTAACAGATTAAATAGAAAACACTAATACATCTTTTAGTTTATTGGAAAAATGTCCCAGAGCCTTGAAACTCTAAAATGGTCCTATTTTTTAGAGTTTAGCCTGAATAACTATATAAAAAAAAAAAAATATATATATATATATATATATATATATATATATATATTTAAACAAATATTAATTTATTATGGAGCAAACAATTCATTTATAGCATTTGGAGAACAGCACTCTGCATTTTATTTCTATTAATGATAAAATATTTCTTCAAATTCGGTTTTTATGTTAAAAACAAAACTTGCTCCCATTTTATTGCAGCTGCTTATTTTTTATTTATTTATTGTACTTTGTTTTCTGTGCAGGATATTATGTTGTAAATTTGCCTGTCTAATTCTTATTTTTATTTTATTTTTTTAACCATAGTTTAAATGCAGGCTTCTATTCTACACCTGATTTCATTTTTTTTTTTAAAGTTTGGTCATTTTTAACCTTTCCATTTTAAAATAAAAGATAAAATAAACAATGCTGGAAAAAAAATACAAAAATTGTACAGAAATAAATATTTAAATTCCTGTCAATGGCAAAAACACAAGTCATACAGAAAAAAAGCTTATTATAGGGAATTATAACTTTAAACTTAAAATCAGCCATGCCTTTAGCAGTAAATTGCCTAACTTTTGACTTCAAATAAACAGAAATTAGAACAAAAGAAAAGTAGAGAAAAGAGTTGATTTTGTTAAAAAGGAGAAAATTAAGTCCATATGCTTCATATTTGTGTAAAATGTGTCTTTATAGCATCTCATTAAATGTCTGAGTGCTGCTGAGGCCAGAACGTCTCCAACAGCCAGACACTGACATCTTTCTCTTTGCTGCTATTTCTGCTTCAATCATGAGATAAATTAAATTTTAGTTAAATAAAATAAATTCTTACAACAAAGTGTGGAAATTGAGACACATGGTTCCCACTTTATTGAACCGGCATGAATTTCTTTTGCTTTGTCTGTAAACCTATTTGATCTAGTCATATTATACCTGTGGACTGAAATTATGATCCTGGCTCCAAAGAACTCTGGATAATTTTGTTTGAACTTTGATGTCACTTCCTGGAACAGCTTCAGAGTCCAGATCTTGTCGTGAATCGTTCCATCAAGTTCATACGTCTGAAACGAAGAGAAGAAAAATGTGTCTACTGGAGCTGGTGTTTTATTAGGAGCTCAAGCTGATCGTGTGGGAAGCAAACGAACCCTGGACAGACCGCTCCTCAGCTCCAGGTACATGACGTTGTCCCTGTGAAGCTCCTCTAATCCCTGGTAGATGTAATCCCTCAGAACGGGAGCGTGGGTGATCAACCCCGCAGCGGCGATGAAGGCCTTCTCAAACTTCTCCCACACAACATCCTGGTTTGGATATTCACCATCTGGATTCTCAGTAAACAGTGTGAGGTGCTGGATTAAACTGGAAAACACCCAGAGGGGAATATTTCAGATCATTTTCCACCATTAAGCATGATAACAGTGAGACCTCATAGTCCAGTAGATTTGGTTTGATTGGGGACGAAAACTGCAACATTAGTTACGTTTTCAGCTGCTGCGGTTTACTTTTACACTGAACTCTGTGAAACAAAACCAATTAAAAAGCCTGTTCCCCTCCTCGTCTCTGGTCCGCTCACCGTTCACACATGCATTTGAAGCAGACCAGAGTTTGTTTTTTTGTTCTGCATATTAACGGTTCAGTCTCACCATCTCAAGGCCCGCGGGCCAGATCTGGCCCATCATGTGCATTTATGTGGCCCTCAACACTTTAGAGGGACACAAAAATTTAACTTTAAGATATTTTATCAGTCATATCCAATCAGTTTTTGTATAGATCAAATTACATCATGTTCAAAACTGCTACAGTTTAAGTTGTACCAATCAAATGCAGAGAAAACAAGATTAGAACAATTTGTTAATGGGTACACCCCCCCAAAACCAGCCCTTTGAGCATATTTATGGTCTTGAAGAGGCCCAAAAATGAAAATGAGTCAAAAAGCGGTGAACTATGGTCCACCTAAAAACCTCAGTCTTAGTTCGGCTGAAGTGAACTCTGGCGAGGCTTGACTGCATATGTGAACGCCAAACAGATCAAATACCGCTCCAAAAGCAGGAAGTGGACTACAGTGCACAGCATTCTGGGTAAATACAACCAAAACCAAAGTGAGAATCTAGCGGTAGAAATGGCTCATGGTCTTTTACAAATGACAAAAGAAATCCTACAACCAGTAAAATTTTGTGAAGAAGGAAGTTGTGCACAGTGTTTTCTTCAGAGGTTCTTGGTGCAGCGCCACCACAGGCGAGGAGGGGAACAGGCTTTTCAAAGAGTTTGGACTGACACAGTGGAGTGTGAAAGCAAACCGCACCAGCTGAAAATATAACAAATGCATCAGGAGTGAAAACACCCTTAATCTCTGCTAACCTGCTGTCAAATCCTGCATTGTCCCCTATCCTGGCTCTGAGCGACTCTAGCAGCTGCCAGTAGAAGCAGTCCCACCGAGGGAAGGGCTGCAGAGTGGAGAACAGGAAGCGGACCGAGTTGTCCCACGTGAAGCAGATGTAGCAGTGAGGTCTGTAGGTGACGTTTTTCACCAGCCATTCGGCGCTGACCAGCGATGAACTGTGGATGTGGAGTGCAGCGCCTGTGGGCAGAACATACAGCAGCAACCAACAAGGACATAAATCAACAAAATAGTTGAAAATGGTTTCAAAAACAATTATTGTTGATCGCAAAAATTTATCACGGAGTAAAATTAGTTTTTGTGACAGGCCCGGGCAGAACCGTTGTTCCTCCATGATCACACGGGGTCAGGAACTGCCACCTCATCCAAAAGGCAAAGATAAATTAATTATCCAAAGAGGAAGTTCTGCACACACTGAGGAACGGTGCCTACATGATGAGGATAATCTGCCTCATAGAAAGAGCATTTAGGCCGTTATCGCTAAAGAGGAACAACCCGGCATCTGCAAACAGCCTGTGTACACTGGGATCTTAAAAAGATGTTTGCTGCCGTTAATGTCCAGGATGTACCACATTTTGTATCTGCGTGACGTTTGGGTCCGTGTCCTATTTAAGAATGACTTGAGCTGTAGCTTAAATATCATTTTATTTGTATTTTTTTAATCTTGGGTTTGTCTTTGTTTATATTCACTTTGTGAAGGTACTACAGAAACTTTACTTGCCAACATAGAAAATGTGGTAAATTCATACATTTATGTATCTTATTTGTAGTTGTCTTCCATCCTTTTGCTGTGATTTTAAGTAACAAGAAAGAAAAACAACTCACACATGTGATGGGTTTAGTGTAAAATAATATGTGGATAAGAATCTCAAGCTCACTTTTAAGTATGGCGGTGGCTCTATGATGGAGTGGGCCCGTTTCTCCTTCAAAGACCCAAGAAATCGTGCTAAAGATTAAAAACTGTAAATTTTAAAAAAGGGTTAGGACCTAAAAATGGGTCCTTCAGTAGGATAAAAGCTAAAATTCAAACAAATCAGGACTAAATCCCCACCTGTTTAGAGTTGCCTTTGATAATTAATAAATGGAACATTTA